ATGTACTTGTTTTTCGCTTGTGTGATTGTTCCTTTGCGTCACCTGCTTTAACATGAACGCGTTACAGGCACAAAGTCCACAATCACTGACTGATTTGAGCGTCGCGAGTATCGTTACCGCGACCACCGCAGAATGCCGCGATTTTTCTTTCCAAAAACCATCATAAAAACAAATATTCCAAGCAATATACAAAGAAAACACGTAAACTGCTAGTTGTCTTGTAGCATGCTTTCACCTGCCGTTAGTGTCACGAAAATGAATATGTAATGTTCTGCCACATTTGACAGCAGGAAATAGTGTCCAGTACGTGGTAGTTTGAGCTCTGTTACGAAGCTACAGCATCAACAATGTGAAATGAACAATGGGTCATGCATACGTCCCACTGCCCAACAAATGGTTAAATGAATGCAACTGCCCACAATAGCACTGTCCTTTTCACATCACCGTACTCAACTCTAGCAGCTTTGGCCATGATGGCTTCGTCCACAGGTTATTTTACTCCCGTTCGCATTTGTCAGAAAAGCACCTCAATGTAGACCATGCTCACATAGAGAAAAATTTATTGGCTCTAATGGTTGAAGTAAAGCCTAATTTTGCCCTAGAAAGTGACACACAAGTAAGTAAGACAATGCTCAGACATGTCCTTCATGCTTTATGCTTTTTTTATTTTTGTTTTGCCTTCAGTTAATGCGAATTTTTCTAGTGCTAGTTTCATTTTAGACTACAAGCACCTTTTGGTTTGCATTGATGCTGACAGAAAATATATAATAGAGACCTGCAAAAAGATGAGGCAGGTGCCTCGTGAGATTCGCAACCTGATCACCATGGCACCAATCCCGAGGAACGTCTTTCCCAAGCATAACCGTGGCAGGCGATTAGCCAGAGCAGCCATAATTCTCAAGCACATCTGCAGCGAGTAGTGCGAGTCTGCTTCGTAAATGTGGCAGTGTACAACAGTATCACGAAATATTTTCACCTCATGCAAATAGAGTACCCACTCTTTCCCCTTAAACTTAATAGACCTCAGGCCCTCCATCTCAGACTATTGCAGATGGAGAAGTACTTAATCCGAGCTCCCTACACACCATTTATTCAAATGCAGTCACCGTTTGATTAACCCTTTACTGCCGAATGTCGCGAATTCATGATGTACTGAAAAACTTCGAGCAAGTAAGTCACGAAATGCGGGCTACTTTTATTGTGGGCTGCCAAGTACTCGCGTGGCATGTATCTTTGAACATGAAAAATATAGCGCTGTCTCGTCCAAGGTATTTTTGAGCTATAACTATTGTTTTGGAGCTCATGGCGAAGAGCACGAAGCGCGTGCAACAGCTCTCACTTTGTTTTTTTTGTCGCCTTAGTGATGCAAGTTTTATCTTCAATAATACTGTTTATTTGATGCGTGCACACTCAAGAGGTGGCACACAACATGTTACGTAGTTCTGAAATGCATTTTTTGTAGCAAGGTCCTCGCTTCTGTGATATATGGAGAATTCACGACATACGCAAAAGTATGCATTAAGGTTGAATTTTAGATAATTTAAAAGCAGAATCATTTAAAAGTTGCTATTAAAAGCTAGAAAATGAAAACAATTTTTATTTTGATCGTGTGTTTCATAATTCAGGCATTGAAAAATTAAATGTGACCTCTTCAGATCTTCATAAGCTTCACCTCAGCACATTCTCGTATTGCAGCAAAGCTACCTTTCAAGCTCCGCTCCAGTTTTAAATGTATAGACTCAAGAAAATGCTGCTTCCAACACGGAGATTATAGACGTGAAAAAGGTGTGGGCTCAATGAATGCTGTTTTGGTCCGGAAGTTCGGGCAGGAAGTCTGAAAAACTAGATGCCGAAAGTTTTTAGCATCCAAGGTTTTAAATGTTCTAGTATGTTGACGTGCACGAGGCAGATTTGGAACAGCGGACTCAAGGGGAGCACGCCCTTGTCTGCCACAACAGTTGGGCTTCCACAGAAGTTGAAAGAGGAGGAGAGGCTGAGGAAAAAATAACATCTCTGCCTTTCACACGTAAAGTGTTGTCGGCAACACATGTACTAATACAATTTGGCCTCCGCATTGCCCTATTTTAGATAAGACTATGAAATACCACCCGGCAAGCACTTCAACCTAGCAGGGGTGCAACAGCCAAAACAGAATTTGGAACATTTTTTGGAGCAGCAAAATGTCATTTTGGGAGCACTAAAATCCTAATTTGTAGCAGGTTAGAAAAAGAAATTGTTTACCATGAAAGATCTAATTTAGAGCACTATAAATAAAATGGCTTACCTTCAGAAAACATATATGTACAAAAAATTAAACCCACCTGAATTGTGCATGAGCACTGCTATTTCAATAAAAATGTGGTATTCTGAATTACCCCACACTGAGCAAACAATGATGAAGTCTACATTAGCATTTGCCGTGTCTCTGTGAATTTAAATGTGGCTCTGCCAAGCTAGCGACCTTGAAACTCAGGAGATTCGTATAACTGAGGAGTAGGAGTGGCAAAAAAAAAAAAAAAAAACTGGCCACAGTATTTTCGCTTTTATGGCAACACAAATGTCATTGCACTTCTAAATAATTGCCAGCAACTTTTTTTAGACGTCAGCGAACATACTAGTACTCACAATTATGAGGCGCATACACGCATGAGTAATTGAACAAAATTTGCTGTGTCCTGTGACTAGCGCTCGCAACCCCTTCCAAATCGTAATAAACTTTTTCGTGTGACACCAGTACACTGCAGCGAAGATGGCTTAAACAGCGTTCTGCACGGGTTAGAACAAGGCCAAGCAATTTTCAAACCACTACACCCCTCCTCCCCCCAGCCCCACCCCACTCTTTCTGTTTTTTCTTTCACGGTGGGTTTGGGTTTAGGGCACAACTTCTCGGCTACTCGCAAGGCACGTTAGACCGGATAACGTAACTACATGCACCCGTTGGCCAGGCGACAATGCCGGATATCTATCGCCAGGACGCCACAACTTCAAGCCAGAAAAATGTTTTATGTGCCTTTGCTATGGCAACTAACGTGATGGCTAGTAACGACGGCATTCACAGCACGTCGACCTTGCTTGAGCGTGGAAAACTTGGCATACTTTTCCAACATGCCATAACCACGTTTCCTCACATTTCGCACAAAGCGTTGATGGTTATGGCAATGCTTTTTTTTTTTTTTTAAGTTACATCATCTCGCCGCAAGGTATCCGCTGTGGTCAGCGCACCGATGGGCACCTAATGTTGTGCCTACCTCTTATACTTCGTCTGGATGATCACATCTCGCGAGTGTCCTCACCAAACGAGTATATAACTTACATATTGGTTTAAGGTTATGGTCAGCGCGCTTGGTTTGATTGACAACGCGAAGTGCAGGTGGCTAGTGTGGCCTCCATTTCTTGCTGAAATGAACGCACATGAGATAATTATGAGGCTGGTCAGGCATTGTGGCGCAGCATGGCGCAATTTCAGCAAAATTCATGCGTCTGGCACAGCTCAGCACAACAATGGGGATTTGTATAAAATTGGTACAATAGGCACAGCTGTTACACCCCTGACCTAGTAAGAAGAAGCACTTTCAAGTTGCCATATTTCATAAGAATATACTAAAGAATCCCCTCCAAAATTTTATCCATGCAATTTCACTTTGAACTATTCGAAAAATATTCTAGAAATATTCAAAAATTATTCTAAAAATATTCAATTCACACTCGCACTTTAATATTCAAATTCACTTCACAACCAAAATTTTGTTATTCACACAGCTAAAAAAAAAATAAAAGAAATAGCTCAATTCAGCATCTCTTTTCCCACCTTTACTTCCACATAGAGGAAGATGCATATGGGGAGCAGGTGACCCAATGACACAGAAGGCGTAATGAAAAGAAAGAACAGATGGACAGGCACAGTAAACCCATTTTGTACCTTATAACTGCTGTCATAGTGGAATACAGGGAAATCTCAATAGAATGAACCCCCGCATTAACGAACTTTTCAGATTAACGAACATTTTAAAAAACCTGTGCCAACTGCTAATATTTTCAATGTAAAATTATTTCACTACTTCGTACTTCAGAATATGAACCTTTCAAAAAAATGCACGCTAATTTAGTTCCACATTATATTAACAACGCCTCAGTACAGCAAACTCATGTTCTGAATACGTAGCGACCACCGGAGCACTAAGCGAGCATACAACACAGCGAACAGACGCCATGCTTCTCGGAACACGTGCGACGGTGCGGAGTGGAAAAAAACGAAAGGACGACTTTCTTTTCTTTCTTTTTGTTAAAACACCGATGCTGCAGGTTTACAAGCGCCGAGCAGAGGGGTGAGGGCAACAAAGGAGCGCAAGGTCGGCGAGGCAGAGTGGGAGTTGCGGAGCAGAAAGCATGGGCGCGGGAAACCTGAGACAGCGAGGGAGCAGAAAACTAAACGCGAGGAATTTTCTTTTTTAGCTGTTTCTTTTCTTCGGAAGAGGCGACGACAGCCATATGCTTCGAGTTTTTCTTTGTCACTTCTACATGTGCTCCAGGAGGCCTTGTTAGTCGTGTTCATCTCCTTGCGGTGATTACTTATTGCGTCTGCAAAGCAAGTCAGCGTTCGCGCTGCGATGCTACTCTCTGTTTACGACGAAAAAGTGCAAGCAGTTTATGCTAAGCGAGAAAGTGGATCGCACCACAGGAATGAGGACTAGCTGTAGGCCTTCGCACTGTGAAGTTTGTGCTGCACGCATCAAAAAAAAAAAAAAAAAAAACATCGGACTTCCTTGAGTAAATGTGCAGTTTTTATGTTCACTTGTGTGTTTATTTTTTTTGTGTGTGTGAAAAACGAGTTCACGACCCCACCGTTTTGAAGGTAAGTCGTTTTGGTCAGTGGAAAATAAGTATTTATGGTTAGTTTTTGAGTTTTCACTATAACGACCTTTCAAAATAATGAACGAATTGCCACAGTCCCTTGAAGTTCATTATACCAAGAATTCGCTGTAACACCAGCCCTAACGCACCGTTTTGAATGCAGCTGCACCAGAAGGATCTTCAGTGGCCAACTTTTCAGACTCTGCAGCCTCATCTGTAGGATGAAATGATCCAGTTTCAGGAGCAGTCCCTGAAAAAGAGCAGAACAATTACCTTAGAAGGTACAGTGTCGTACTGCACAGCTCATGCACAAAGGCTTAGCCATGGTGACCAATTTTCGATGGGAGGATAATGGAAGAGCACCCACAAGCATGGTTCTTTATGTAGATTTAGGTGTATGTTAAAGAACTCCAAATGTCACACCCAGGATAACATAAACAACATGAGGAAATTCATGCACTGCTCTAGGGAGGGCTGTACGAAGCTCCATGTTTAAAGTGTCTGATGGTGATACTACCGCATTGCCATTTTCGTGCACCCTCATTTGTGTGTCCAGTATTTCCAACAAAAACACTAGCATCATTGATTGATTTGTGGGGTTTAACGTCCCAAAACCACCATATGATTATGAGAGACGCCGTAGTGGAGGGCTCCGGAAATTTTGACCACCTGGGGTTCTTTAACGTGCACCCAAATCTGAGTACACGGGCCTACAACATTTCCGCCTCCATCGGAAAAAACACTAGCATCAATTATAGGTAGTAAAGCATCTTGAAAAATGGTATAGGGGAGAAACCACATCTTATACATAGCAAATTACTCGCATTGTCCTTGAGTGCATTTTACATACTTGCAAAACAGACTTCTAATAGTTGCAAATGGAGGGTAAACTCATTCAGAGGCACTACAGCTGAGAGCAATTTCGGAGGAGCGAAAATGTTGCTTTTGGAGCACTAAAAATCCTAATTTGGGGCAGGTTATGAAAAAAATCTCTATTATTAAGCACAAGATCTCGAATTCAGAGCAGTACAACAAAGAAGACTCAAAAAAGCAGAACACAAATGTGTGTGAACCAACATCAGCCAACCCATGCACAGTGCACATGAGCACTGCTGTTTTAAAAAAAAAGCAGTGTATGGAACCAACACGCAGTACAAACAATGATGAAATCCACATTAGCATTTTCAGTGCCTGCCAATTCATTTAACAGGTGCTACAAATGCTAATGTGTAGAGACCGAAACTTTAGGCGAAATGCCTATTTTTTCCTGAAGTTCGTTTCGAGCCTATTTAACATAGAAATACGAACTAATGAATGGGAAATGTTTTAATCACACATTTATTGTGCCTATAAGTGCCTATTTCGAGGTTCGTGCCTATATCAGCTTTTCAGCACCTAAATATGCCTTTTCACGTTCGTGGAGTACATGTTTTGCTTAATTCAGCTGTTCATATAGAGGAAAACGTGAGGCAGTTAGTGTGGCCATATTAACGATAACACGTGTGTGCATAGCACACTGTTTTTGCTTTTGTTCATACTTTTACTCCTATTAAGGTGCAATTACAGCTCAACGTAGGGTAGAAGCATGCATACGCTGTGTCATGTGAGTGAAAAGCGATCGTAGGTCGACGCACATGTAACTGGACTCGGCCGATGCGCTCCAATGCATGTTACGCTCACCAACGCTCCGATTACGTGGGACTATAAACGCGCCTTTATGTGAGTGGGTATAGAATGTACCCTTTCGAGGCGAAGTGGTATACTATAGCGCTAGTGGGCCTCCCTAAAAGATACCCATCGCTAGGTTCAAGAGCAGTGTAGCTCATCAGTTGCATGCGGGAGGATATTGTACAGTGTAGCTAGAGTGTACTCTAATGAGCCAAAGCTAAGCTATGCTAGCGCTGCCGCCTACAGCCTACACGCAAGTTTCGTTAGCATTTATGTTCTTCATAACGGCAGCTGTCGGAAGTCTGCCAAGCAATGTGGAAGAACAAGAAGCCGTACAGTGTCCATGTCAGGCAATGGACCATTGGATCACAGTGCTACCCCGTCAATGGAGAAACTGTATTTTGCAAGCGAGAAGACATTTGAAAGGTCAATAATATTTTGTATTTCATGTCCACTCTGAAGCACGCATAGGCATAAAGCTCCCAACATTGGTTACGCAACTGCCAATTGAAATAACCCATGAACCTGTGCAAATACCACGCATTTTGTGGTCATTTCACGGGCACTCAGCTTCTTTATTTTGTTATTTTTATATCCGCATCTGTGAAATCGCTTGCACCCATAACACAGAATGCAGCTATATGCCAAAGCTTCACTGACACAAGCCACTTTCAACTTCATCGATTACACTTTCAAAATTAGAACTTCTCAAGTAACATCATGCAATAAAAAGTATTTACTAAGTGGTTGAAGTATGCACCAGGGACTGGAGATAGCTATTGCGTTCAATGCTTAAAGTAGGGGTGAAAGCGGGCTTCAGTCTTTTGGATAAACTTTAGGAACAGCAAAAACACAGTTTTGGAGCAGCTTTGAAGCAGTAAAAGGGGTACTTTGGAGCAGCTTTGGAATACCTAGAGGCGTGTTTTGGAGCATTAAAATTTAGTTTTGGAGCAGATTTGTTGGATCACACATTACTGTTAATTAGAATTTTTGTTTTCTCTTCACTTTCTCATCAACATAAAAAATTTCAGTGGTTTTTACTTTACTAAGCATTCAATGTTGATCAAGTGACGAGACTATTTTGTTTATTTTTATTTTTATCTCAAAATACTGCAGGCCAACTTGACCCTAGCAGGAGGGGCAGTACACATATAAGAACAAAATAGAAGAATGGCTTAATACATAAAATGGTACATTATGGAACTAATTTGTGCACCTAACAATAGAAGCATAAAATTGATAACGCTCATACATAGTTAAATAAAACATCGGCACTAAGAAAGCAAATAATTAACAAAATATATGCTCGTCCAGAGCTTTGACAAAGCTTGGCGACATAATGACTGAATCTGGAAGTCTGTTCCAATCCTCTATTGTTTTAGAAAAGAAGCTATTCTGAAATGACTTAGCTTTAGCAAAAATCGGTTTCAGTGCATGAGTTCTAGTGTGTCTTGTTTGTCTTGTATTAACAGGACGAAGGTATGATGAGTCACCTACATTCAAGCCACCAGCCAATATGTTATGTAGCAACTTTATGCGATGAAACTTTCTTTTGGACAGTAACGAAAATTTTTTGTTTTTGGTCATCAGGACACTAGGAGAATCTGTTCGCTTATATTTATTAAAAATGAATCTAATGGCCTTGCGTTGAATCATTTCGAGCTGACCAGTGTCTTTCAACGTAACTGGATCCCAAATTTGTGATGCATGATCGTGCGAAGGTGTTCACAGCAAGCAAACATAACCGAGGAGGAGCATGATAGAGTCTTCTACTGCGTCATGCTACAGAGATATGCCTTCAAGCATATCTCTGCAATATGTTTAGTCCATGATAACTCATCAGTAAAGGTGACTCCAAGGTACTTTTAACAGTCAACTGTTTGAATGGGAACGCTGCTGGATTGGTACTCAAATATTATTGGGGCCTTTTTCCTAGTGATTCTAAATAAAACTGTTTTATTTACATTTAGCTGCATATCCCAAGATTGGCACCAAGAACTTGTTATCAATTGCTTGTTGGAGCAAATCTTGGTCGCTAGTAGAAGTGATTTCTTTAAAAATAATGCAGTCATCTGCAAACAGCCTTACTGACACTGATAATAAAATGCCCTCCGTTAAACCATTTATATATATTAAAAATAACAACGGCCCCAAAACACCATCCTGTGGCACACTTGAGCCAACAGGAAGCACCCGAAAATGGCTATCATTATTATCTTGATAATTGTTGTCTGTTGCTTAAGTATGATGCCGTCCACTAATGAAATAAACTGGCAGACCAAAACAAAAGGTACAAAAGTTTTGAATGTGACACTTGATTGATATGTGGGGTTTAACGTCCCAAAACCACTATATGATTATGAGAGACGCCGTAGTGGAGGGCTCCGGAAATTTCGACCACCTGGGGTTCTTTAACGTGCACCCAAATCTGAGCACACGGGCCTACAACATTTCCGCCTCCATCGGAAATGCAGCCGCCGCAGCCGGGATTCGAACCCGCGCTTTGCGGGTCAGCAGCCGAGTACCTTAGCCACTAGACCACCGCGGCGGGGCTTGAATGTGACACTTTAAGAGGCGGAAGCAGGCTTTAGTCTTTTGGAGAAGCTTTGGGAGCAGGAATGCTACAGTTTTAGAGCAGATTTGGAGCAGTAAAAGAGGAGTGTTGTAGCAGTGCTTGAGCACCAAAAAATGTATTTTGGAGCATCAAAATTTAGTTTTGGAGCAGATTTTCCAGGTCACACATCACTGTTAATTAGAATTTTTGCTTTCTCATAAAATTAAAAAATTTCAGTGGTTTTCACAAAGCATTCAATGCTGATCAAGTGACCCGACTTATCCCAAATTGATAAATATATTAAATCTTACAACATCAAAGCTGAAATCACAGCAACTCAAAGAAAAAACATGAGCGGCACTCTGGACAGCTACCAGACTTCAGACGATTGAAAAAAAATTTATATTAAAATGTTGCAATGTTCAAGATGTGAATAAAACACCACATCTTACATGAACAGCAAGTCAATCAGACTAGAACTAATAAAAGCTATTTTCCTACTAAACTAATACGGCTCTACAAAAATGAGTGCACAGAACTTATGTTCCGGTCATTGAAGTGCTACAGCCGACATGAGAACCACGAAAAAATTTAGATGGGCACCCCGCGCCATTAGGGATCTTTAGGATAACGTTTGCAGGCGCTGCGGGCGTTGCGAGCATAGCTGACGCTATACGAGTTTTAGACTAGCGTTTGCCCTCCTGCGAACCGCAACGCACGATCGCAGCAGCACCATAGCCTCGAAACCAGCGTTTGCGGGTCTTATGCGGGCAGCACACGCCGCCCGCTATTTCCGATTTTCTGTGTGCGGGCAGCGAACGCGGACGGCTCACGTTAAAATGCATGCGCGCAGTGGCATCAACCGCACCGTAAGGGCTCGCAGTGCGCTATTCTAGAACTGCTTAATGCTAGGCAATCAAGTTATTTTTTTTATTAGGATATGAAGTATATGGACACTCAATGGGTTTTTGCCATCGCCGCCATGTTCAACGTAAACTACAAGTTGGTAACATTCCCCGTGCATCATA